AACTAATATTTCAATTGTGACACATCAGCTTTGCAATGACTATTCACATCAGTGCAATAATATTCATCTCTCAAAAGTGGTCCCCACTGCAAATCGGTTCCAAAAAACATGAATTATAAAACAAATATTACAATATTATTCCTCATTTTCTTCGTCTTCAAATCGGTTCCAAATCTCTTCAATCAAATCCGCTTGTAGTTGGTGATTTATGGATCTGTTACGAATTTTTGCATGACTCCGAAGATACATTTCATATGAAGGAAGACGACTTCGGGAAATTTCAGGCCTAACTATATTAAAAATAACATCATTATCTGTATAATCAAATTGACGACTATATGAATCATGTTCATCTTCCACAATCATATTGTGCATAATGACACAAGCTCTCATTATTTCTCCAATTATTTCCTTGCACCACATACGCGATGGTCCACTAATAATAGCAAACCTTGCTTGTAATACGCCAAACGCTTTTTCAACATCTTTCCTAGCCGCCTCTTGTTTCTTTGCAAATAGTGCATGTTTCGGTCCTTGAGGTAATGGTATTGATTTTACAAAAGTAGCCCAATTAAGATAAATTCCATCTGTGAGGTAGTAACCTAAGTTGTAATTGTTACCATTCACTTGGAAGTTAATCTTTGGTGCTTTCCCTTCTAACACCTCGTGAAAAATAGGAGAACGGTCTAACACATTGATGTCATTTAATGTACCTGGAAGACCAAAAAAAGTATGTCATATCCACAAATCTTGTGACGCAACAGCTTCTAACATTATTGTTGGACTTTTATGATCTCCTCTAGCATATTGCCTATGCCATGCAACTGGACAATTTTTCTATTCCCAATGCATACAATCAATACTACCTAACATACCTGGAAACCCTCGTTCGTGTCCAAGATGAAGTAAGCGTTGAAGGTCTTCAACAGTTGGTCTTCGCAAGTACTCGTCCCCAAACACGCTTGGATGGCATTACGTGATGAGGAGAAATGGTGTACCCGTATACAAGAAAGACAAAGAGATGCCAACGAAATGGAATCTATTGGGCCAAAGAGGACTAAGAATAGTATATCCGGCGAATACACGTCATCATCCTCAAATACAAACATATCAGTTAATGAGCCAATATCAAATCCTCGTCCAGTGGGAAGAAAAGCTTCTAAAGGTAAAGGGAAACAAACACCAATGTCAAGCACCTCTCTTGAAAGTATACAAGATACGATGCAAACCCAAATTAATATTGAGATGGAAAAAATGAACATAATGAAAGAATACACAACAACTTTGAAAGACCACGATATGAAAAAAGATGGACGTCAAAAGAGTAAACTAGCGATGAAATTATTAGAAATTGATCCATCAACATTGTCAGAACAACAAATAAAGTTGTATGAAATGCAACTCGATATGTTATTAAACGGAAAATGATGTCAGTTTTATGCACTCTATCAATTAAGTTTAAATAATTGTATTTCTTTTAATTTAATATGTTTATGATAATTTATATTTTAAATAAATAATAGTTATTAATATTTGTTAATTGAGAAAGGAGGTATATATCATTGTTTTAAAAATCAGTTTTTTAGTTGAACCGATCTGGTGACCGGTTCCGGGTTCAATCGGTTCTACCACTGGTTCAACCCGTTCATGCATTTTTATGTATTTTATGTTCTACGTTTAAATTAAATAGTTGTATTCATTCTAATTTAATGTTTACAATTATATTTTTTAAATAAACTATAATTATTAATATTTGTTAATTAAATAATAATTAAATTTAAAATTGAAGTTAACGTAAACACAAATAAAATGAAATTTGAAAAACAAAATAAACAATGTTTATATATATTAATATGTTAATGTAATAAAAACATGATTAAGTGGAAAAGTATTAAAAGAGAAACATTATTTTAATATTAAATATGATTTGCAAGCCTTTCATTAAATTGAAAGGAGTTAGTCTACGTGGCATGTAAAATGAAGTATGTGGCATTGCAAAAGATATTGACAACCTTGATGTTCTAAGGTCAACCACATCAGTGCAATGTCACTAATCTTTCAATTGTGACATATCAGCTTTGCAATGACTACTCAAATCAGTGCAATAACACTCATATTTCAATAGTGGTCCCCACTGCCATATCAACAATTACTATATATATATATATATATATATATATATATATATATATATATACTTAATAATAAATAAACATAAATTTTATTATTATAATTAAAATAATATTTTTAAAATAAAATAACAACATAATAATAAATATTAAATTTATTTTACTTTATTAATTATTTAAATATTAAGACATTATAAAAAACATAAATTATAAAACAAATATTACAATATTATTCCTCATTTTCTTTGTCTTCAAATCGGTTTCAAATATCTTCAATCAAATCCGCTTGTAGTTTGTGATTTATGGATCTATTACGAATTTTTGTATGACTCCGAAGATACATTTCATATGAAGGAAGACGACTTCCGGAAATTTCAGGCCTAACTATATTAAAATTAACATCATTATCTGTATAATCAAATTGACGAATATATGAATCACGTTAATCTTCCACAATCAAAAGTGGTCCCTATTGCCACATTAACAACCACCTTTTACATTTTAATAAAAACACCATTATAAATTATAATTATATATATATATATATATATATATATATATATATATATAATAGAAGAGTAAATAATCATACATATATAATATATATAACTTCGTCATATATAATATTAGTAACTACTATCTTTAAAATAATATAAATATGATGACATGTACTTGCAAATGAACTTGTAGAAGTTGAAAGATAAATGCTAATATGGCATGTCAAACCCATTTGCAAGAGCTTTGCAATGACCGATGTAGATGCTCTAAGGTCATCCACATCAGTGCAATGTCACTAATCTTTTAATTATGACACATCAGCTTTGTAATGAGTATTCACATCAGTGCAATAACACTCATCTTTCAAAAATGGTCCCCATTGCCACATCAACTATTACTTTATATATATATATATATATATATATATATATATATATATATATATATATATATATATATTGGTTACTGAAGTAAAAAAAACAAAAACCATATATTTAATAGAGTACTAATTTTTTGTTTTTTTGTATAAGATGAATTTACCAATTTAAAAATAAAATAAATAACGTAACAAAAGTTCTAATAGATAAATATTATATTTACACACAAATATCACTCATATTCTTTTTTTGTAAATATAGTTTTAATATGATCTTTTTTATATTTAATCATACAATATATGTACAATATTTCTCGAGTGATCAAGCTTTAATTGGTTTGTCTTTCAATTTAAAATCAAAATAGTCTTCATAAAATATTTAGAAAATCAAAGATATTCCTTGTATTAAATTTAAATATCCATGTGGGCCATAGAGTTTGCCTTTGCAAGCCTTGCAGACTGTGAAAGGGCTCATCGTATGTGGCATTCAATTTGGTTTTGAAAGGGGTTTGCAAGACTCGATGTGGATGCTCTAACTTCATTCCCGCATTACCCCTAGTAAGAAAAATCCACCATGGTTACTTCAATAAAAGGATTTATCATCTTTCAAAGAATTACTTGGGCTTCCAATTGGGTTTGGTTTAAGCCAGAAACCAAACCAAAAAGAGCCCCAAAACCGAGAAACCGAACCCATTGGTTTTAGGTCGGGTTGGGTTCTAATTTTTGAAAACCGATAAGTCAGTTTTGGGTTCGGTTTTAGATTAAAACCGACCCATAATAGTTTTTATGCAATCTATGAATATTTTTATGGTTTGTAAAATCTTTAATCTTATGTTGCTAAAATTGAAATTTAGAGTTTTTATTTACATAAAAGTTTTCATATTTAAATAGGCGAATAAATCCCCGATTCCCTACTGGCGATCCTAATAAGGAATCCTGGTCCGAGGTGGGGGTGGGGATGTGGATTCATTTATATTCTTCATTAGGGATGAAAATCGAGATGAGGATTCTAATGAGAATTTGAGGATGACGTTATTCCCCAGCCACATGCAATCTCCAAGGTAGTCACCTTTTGGGATTTTAGACTGCATGCCTTAGAACTTCTTTGGTGATAGGTCATGTGTTTTGGCGTTTGTTTTATCGCTTTTCATGGTTATATTGATTCTTTTTTATTGATGTGTGGGATTTTGATATGGTTTGTGTGGTAGTGGGATATCCTTCTTCCGATAGGGATGAGCAAAACCAAACTCGATAACCGACAAAAACAAATGAACAGAAACCAAAAAACCGAAACCACACATAAACCGTCGGTTTTGGGTTTCGAAATCAAAAACCAAAAAATCGGTCTCAGTTTCAGTTTGGGTTCTACAGAAACCCTACCCATAATTCGACCCAATATATTTAATTGTGTTTTTTAATATTTATTATTAATATATAACATAAAAAATAAGGTATATACATCGGTATTACACTATTACCTAAAGTCCCAAACCCTAAACAATCGTTCCCTTTCTCCCTCGTCTGGTCACTGCATCATTCTCCATCTCTTCCCTCTTTGTTCGTCGACCTTCATCATTCTCCCATTCTCTCTGGGTTCTTTGATACTATGTAGCAAGAAGAGAAGGCGAAATCTGTTAGCCCCAATGCAATATCAGTGATATTGTCGAACCCTATTCCAGATTCATCAGCTGATCTACCGGAACTTGTTCAAGTTCTCGACCTCAAAGCTTCTGGCAACAGATACACAAGAGTTTCTAAAATTTTCAATTGATCGTTTATATATTCACTTGCTGTAACCACAATTCCTTTCAATCGACCCCTTAATAACAATCGTATGCAGGCAACAAATATGGTTGAAGAATGTGCACATCCAAAACTAGCTCAATTTGTTAAAACACAAAGTTGGGTGGTGGAATCTGGCGACTATCTCACTTTCCCACGAGGATGAACTCTTGTTACATGACCTAATTTCATCATATCTGCATTAGCCAAGATTGCTAGAGCTGTCCATTTAGCATCTTGTTAGCATTGTTCTTGAGTTCAGTTGCTAAAACTGCACCCTTTTGAGTATCCAACTTCCTCCTCCAGTCTACACCTGAATAATTTGGATCAAATTCATTCAATGCATTCAATGCATTCAAAGTCAACAAAGATTTCTGATTGTTAACCTCCATAACACTTTGAACTTCACATCTAGCCACCAAGGAGATATCATTGTCAAGCTTCCATCGTCTATACCTGTACCCAACAGAGGCAACTTCTTCTCCTTCGGTTGCAAGTGGATTTGGCTCCTCAAATGTAACCTTTTCCCATCTCTCTGTAGAACGTGCTGTGAGAAGTTTTGATTTATGTAAGCGGCTTCTACAGATAATGAATGAGCAGAATTGATATCATCTTTGGCTTCAGGCAATGGCTCCTGTAACGTTTCGTTAACAGATAGCAAATCTAGCTGCGATCCATCTCGTTTATCGAAGAACAGTTTGTTACCAACGCGTTGGATTACGATATCCCATGAGTAAACCGACCTTGGCGCGCGCATGAGAGTGGAGAAAATAGAATCGGTCGCGAATACAGTCGCTTTATCTTCATTGGCGAGCCTTCGAATCACTGGATCGTCTGTAGTTGTGACTTTGAAGAAATTCTTGTTCTTGAAACGCTCCAATCGGCGTTCGTTCTTCGGCGTTGTTCTATCGTAGACTTTATCGTAAGATTCAAGCGAACCACAAATAAGTAGATCTTCTGGTTCAGGAACAGTGTATGAGAGTTTTGTAAACGTCGAGAAAGGGATTTGATCGAGCATGTTCCATTCCGGTTGAATGTCAACTGACGATTTGAACACCGCTGCTTCGCGTCTAGGGTTATCACCTCCAGACCTGTTAGCATGGTATAATCGGTCACGGCGACTCGGCGAGCACGCTGCTTCTCCGCTTCAAGTTTACGCGCCACCTCCTCATCATGGCGTTGCGGGAGCTGATTGCGATTGTTCTGGAACCTCCATTTAGGACCAAATTTCGGGCGTGGTGGAGGCTTGCCGTCGACGAGGCGGAAGGTGGCATCATCGTCAGCGTTGAGACCGCTGCCGAAAGAATCGTCATTGGTAAAATAGAAGGCGGAGTCGGCAGGATTATTGCTGCGGTTGTTGAAACGATTAGGATTGTTGTAGTTTGATCTGGTCCAATCAGCAATACGTCCAAGTTTATCGGAACGGGAGAAAGGGGCGGAGGAACATTGACGGGGAGGATACAGGCAGCGGAGCCGTCGGATTCCGGTGGACCCCATCCGTCATGACTAAAGGGAACGTCGCCGATTTCCAATCCTGCCATGTTTTCCGATGTGTTGTGTAGAAGAGATGAAGAGGGTAGAAGAAAAACCCTATATCTCGAGTACAATTACCATTTACACCCTGATTAAAAATGGGCCAAAATCATATTGGTCTTGCCATCTTGCTGCTATATTGGGCCACAATAAGCCCATTTATTGTTTTTAGGGGCTGGCGGCTGGCCCTGTCCCTAATTGGGTTCAAAAATTGCGATAAGGAGTGAACCGGTTCTGAAAAGGTCACAGTGACTGGGAAGTCTTATGTCAGTCCAGACCAATAGCCTGGATCGGGTCCTATTTTTCAGCAACCTGTCGGTCCCATGTGTGTCTTGAATCGGTCTAACAACAATCGGGTCGGATTTTGTTTTGTCCCACGTGGGTCCTACCCTGTTTTCAATGGCTAGATCAACTTTAACAGTAAGGTGGTGTTTGTTTTTTGTCTGCAGATCTGCGTGACCACTTCTGTCTGCGCCGCCCAGACATTAGCCTTCGCAGACTGTTTGTTTTTCTGAAGACTGCAGACCTAAAAATGTCTGCGCGCCCTCTTATTGGCGCAGATGTGGACCATAGTCTTCTAACATCTTCAGACATCTTCTAGCCTAAAAAAACATATATATCTATATTTTTTTTAAGTTTTTTTTTTAATTTATATTTTTTCCAACTTTATTAATGATAAACAATTTGAAAAAAAAAATTACAAAACTAAAAAAAAAAACGTTCGACGATACAAACATTATATTTTTGACAAATTTATAAATAAAGATTTATTACAATAATAGTCGTTGAAGTTGTTTATATAAATACGAAAAAAAAATCATAATATATTCTTATATTTTTTCGCTAAATTTTGTAAAACATTATTTAATACACTATCGTCAATTTCTCGAGAAAATATTTATGCTACGTTTTTAATGGATTTAATTGAAAAAATCGAAGTTTATTTTCATCCATTTATGTATCAAATTCTTTGATCCTTAATTATAATGTTTAGTTATAACTTTGCAACCACAGTTGCTGGTTTTTATCAAATATATACGTTAATTCATACCATTTTTATTTTTACGTTGTATACAATAATACATAAAAGTTGATATACATTTGTAAATTATTTATAACAAAGTCATAAAAATATTAAAAAAACACTTTGAAGTTTAAAAAAACCAGTTTATTTAGATTTCAGTTTATTTTAGTAGTCTGCAGATGTTAAAAAAACAAACAGTCTTCTTTTTTCAGACTGCAGACGTTTGGTCCACATCTTCTACTGCAGAGGTCTACAGATGTGGTCCGCAGACTGCAGACATTTTGCCTCAGAAAAAACAAACAACACCTAAGTTTTTTTTCTCTCTTCCAAAAACTCACCCTATAAATATCATTTTATCCACAACCATTCTTTCCACCCCAAACTCTTTTTCTTTCTTGAAATCTCTCTAGAATTCTACAAATTTCTTACAAAGCTTCAAGTTTTTAACATCAAACAGTCTACAAATGTTGTGGTTTTCGTTCCATCAATTAGTGCACTTTTGATCCGAGCTTAACATACACACGTCGATTTAGAATAATTTCATCCAACTTCAACAACTAAATAAACTCTTTGGTAAATACGGGTTCGGTCAAGTTATTGTTGGTGGGAATAGTATGCTAGAACAACATGATTTCTTATTATAAGTTTAATAGTTGACTTAATTTAGTTAATTTATAATTTGTTTTGCTTAATTAGTTTTGTTTAGTTAGTTTAGCTTAATTTATTAGTAGTTCAATTTAATTTATAAATAGTTTAGTTTAACTTATAATTATCTTAGTTTGATTACTTACTTTACTCATAATTAGTCATTTGCATTACATAATTTAATTATTAATTGTAAGTGTAATAATAGTGGATATAATGCAGAGAGTGATGTCCAGAATAGTCACGATCAACTTGGTTGTTGTATTTTCCAAAATGCTTTATATTGAAAGAATCATGTCTTTCGATTGTCTTGTATGTCAACGGTCTTGTATGTCAGTTATTTACTTGATAGTCAAACATATTAGATTTTATAATTGATTAAGGCAATGTAATTTACTAATTGTAAATTAACTACTAAAGTCAGTAGTGTAACACCTCTGTATGGGTTGTTTGTAATTGTTTAATCAACCCCATCATAATGTTTTTAAACTTTACTCATCAAATGTCTTATAAATGTTCATATTTCTCCTTAATATGAGTTTTAATTAGGTATATGTCAAAATACTATGTTAGATTTGAAAAACCTAATGAGAAGAACACCTTTGGCCAACCCTTTAAGAGTAGTGGATTTGACATCATCCAAATTCAAGCTTAAAACCTCCCAAAATAATTTTAAATCATCAAGTAACATCGTACTCCAATAAGATAAGAAAAAACATTATAACATTTATTTATCATCAAAACATCAAATATCAACAATACATTGACACTAAACACCAAAATATATGTAAGAAGCAAGTTAAACAATTGCATTTTATCAAATCACCAATACACCAAAATATTTCTACACCAAATAATAATACAATACATATAGTTTTAAACCTACACCCATGTCAATCTTAAAGTCTAACACCGCTTACTAGGGAATAACCAATATGGGAAATAACTCATGGGCCCATCAAACTAGGATACATGTGCTCATTACACATGGTCGACACATGAGATAGCTAACATCATGTGACAATGAGGCTTGTCTAGAATGTATTGACACCCCAAAGTCACAAAAGTTCGCAAAATTTGGTTACTCCTCCAAAATGGCGTCACTGTCCAAACCCTTCCTAAGAGAATGCACCAAATATGGATGTAAAACTTTTGCTTTAAAACATAACACTTGATCCATTTGAAACAAACACACCAAATGCTTTTCATGAATGCAAACACTACATATGCTATTCACACAATACACATATTATGTCATAGAGAATCACACCAAAAATCACAAGAATAAATTATAGGGACATGTACTCTCGGTATACTCACCTTATCTTGAAATAACTATTCACACCAAGTAAAAAATTTATGAGTGTTCGATATAGACCTATATAGATAATTATTTTCATCACTCAAATTCTACAATAAGCTCCTACTAATACTTTAATACTTTGTTTCATCTTAACTTATTCATATTTTAATGGTTTAATTTGACTTGCTATATTTTCCACATTGTTTCCAAATGATATCTATTGAATGAAATAACATTCTAAATAAGTTGCAGGTTATTTAAAAAACTAATTATGTAATGATTTATGGGTCAAGTATGATGACCCAATCAGTTAAACAACTGAAACTCCACTAAGTTCCGTAGAAGACATTTAAGCCTCCAATTTACTTCGACAAGCCTAAATCATCACCACTTAAACTTCAAATTGAAGATGTGAATCAATTTCAGAACATTTCAAAGCGGTTTTAAGATATCAAAATCAAGTTTATAGATAAATGAAAATCAATCCACCATAGATTCACTAACTCAAAGTGAAATCCCAAAATCAAATCCAAAAGTGTATTTTCTAATAATTGATGAATGCCTTAGCTTGAAATTAGTTTAGAAACATTAATATGCTTAAAATCAACATTGATTTCATAAAATCAAGTTTAAAGTAAGATACTACCGTTCTTGAAGCTTTTCAAAAACCATTTAAACTCCAAATTAATCCATACATGAAAAGAATGAGAGTATACTAGCATCTCAAGCTAAAACTCACTTGAAGCATATTAAAACATTCCTAATGAGATGATTTATGGAGTTGGGGGTTTTCACATACACCATAGTAATGTTTCATAATGCATTTCAAACTAAGGTTATTAAATATGTATCACGGAAAACCAACCAACACGCTACCAACCATATCAAGAAAATTAGTAGCCAACATATTTTAGTTGGTGGTATAGGACCAATTAAATAATCATGGTATGGTAATGGAACAAAATTTTATTTAGAATGGTAGTACCATACCAACCAATTCATTTCTTATATATATATATATATATATATATATATATATATATATATATATAGGGTTAGGATCAAATGTGAATCATAAGTATTGTGTGTATGTATGACTAAATTGTGACCATTTGATTAAAAAAAATTAATTATGATCTTAGGGTGCATGATGTTAATATGAGGTAGCATTTACAATATCATTAAAATTAATTAATTGTAGGCCTATTAAATAGTAAGTATAACGTTTTATTAAGAGTGAGAAAAATAAAGTAACTAAATTTTTGGAAACCAAGTTAAATAGATTAAAATCCAGATTATTATTTTTTAAAAACCAAATCATTTATCAGGAAATCATAATATCTGCAATAAAAAAACTAAACAATAACACACAACGTGAACATTTGTTTCATTCTTTGAGAATCATTCGATTTAATGAAACATGTTTCATTCTTTAAGAATTTAGACGATTACATTCCCATTTTACAAAATACAAAAAATATACAATACTCACTAAGCATGAAATAAAGAATCA